GATTGCAAAGACCATGGCCTGTATCAGGCACACCTTAGTCTCCAGAGAGACACCATTGCTCTTGAGTACTTTATAAAGGTCCCTAACAGCAGGGAAATAAAGTAGTCTGGCAAAAATTGCTCTTTGGGTCTTGCCTTTGTTGCCTCGGACCTTGGGTTCTTAGAACGTGCCCCAGCAGCCTGCCGTGTATTTGACATGCTGATTTTTATTTTCTCAGATCCTACAACTGGGAGTCAGGAGACACCATCAGCGTGACACCTGATATGTGGATTTGGGACTTTCCAACATCCACAACTGTACAATTCATTTCTTTCTAATTTCCAATTAGGAAGGTAGGGGACATTGAGAGCCTAAATTCTGTTGAATCCCTCCTGCCAACAGAATCAACACTCTTAACTCTCATCTGAGATTATTCCATCTTTATTAAACCACATTCCCTAGTGAAACCATCCCTTTCATCCTCATCTGATGCCTTAAGAGTCCTCTGTTCTGAGACTCTTGTACCTTGGGCATTGCCAGAGGAAGATGCCTTTTACGATTTTGTCAACCAACCTAAGGATTTGTCCATACCACTCATTTTTTTTTCAATTTTGACTTGAGTGAACATTCACCAAGAATTCTTTTCCATTCAAACACTGACTAACATGCTTTTTCAAAGCATTAGGTACAATCCTCATAATGTAATCACTTTCTCTACATCCACCTGTTATTCTCATTTCTATCAATCCTATAACCTACACCTTACTGCCATCTGAAGTTTTTCTTTGGGAAAATGCTGCCCATTTGACATTGTATTGTTGGTTATTCTAAAGAGTTACTTTGAAGTTACTATTCATCTTGTAGGCCTCTTTTGTTTGAAAGTTTAACCATGGGGGGAGGGGTTCGGTTCTAACAATCACTAAAGGTTATAGTCCTAGAGCTCCACCAGCTTTTATCAGACCAGTAAGCCTGTCCATTTTCATGTTTTCAATTTTGTTTCAAATTTCTCCCTATTCAGAGTTTTCTCTTGTACTCATTTTTAGAGTGGTCAGCAGTTGTAGCTCTTCTGGTTTCAAGGTCATGAAAGTTGAGGTTCCTGTGGTCCAATTATTTCTTTCATCTTTTCTTCATTCCAATCATGGGAGAGATCAGCCATTGCAACTTCTATTGCTAACCTCAAATATTTAAGATTCCTGTTGATATTCACTAAAGTAAGATGTAGCAAATTGTCTTTGAGGACAATGTTATCCCAGTTGACCCTGATGTACACCAAGACAGGGTGTGCTAAGTCCCTGGATTCTTTCATCCCTCCAAGTATTTGGAAAAGATGAAGTCTACATAGCTTTTCTCCCTGTTGGCTCCCTTGTCTGCATGGATATATTTACAGCATATACTTAGGTAAAGCAAGAGAAAGGTGAGGAGTTTCCTCCCATGTGATTTACTGCCTGTGAAAACCCACTGGATGGTTGAATTATGAGTTGTTTCCCACTCAATGGTATATTACAACTAATACGTATGTAGAAATGTTATCTGCCAACCCTATGAATTTGACTGTAGTTGTTTTCACCTGTCCACATGTTTATCTTGCCTATCTTGTCTATGTATCTTCATATGCAGCATTGTTGACATGCAGAGTGATATAAGTTTACTTTTGTTGACTTTCTGGTGCCCCTCTCCAAGTCTTCCCTTTCTGTATTCTGCTGATCATTTCCTGGAGACTCTTTGCTGCTCTTTTTCTGGTTGCTGGAAATGTTATGTTAAGCGGTTGATTTTGATTCTTTCCTAGTGAGCTTATAGTTCTTTGTTGTTGTTGTTGTTGTTGTTGTTGTTTTATTTTTTTGAAATTTTATTATTTTTGTGTGCGTGTACCGTCAAATCAGATCTGACTGGTACTGATTCTTTCCTTCTTTGTTTTTTATTGCTATAAATTTGCCTGAATACTACATTTTTTTTGTGCCCCTAAGGTTTTTGTATATTTTTTTCCTTCATTATCATTTGGTTCAAGACAAATTTTTATTCTATTGTTGTTGTTATGTGCCGTCAAGTCACTTGCTACTCATAGCGACCCAATGTACATAAAAGAGCCCTGAAAGCTGCTCTATCCTGTGCCAACCTCACCATCTCCAACACACTCATTCCCCTGACCCCAATCACAGAATCAATCCATCTCTTCGAGGGTCTTCTTCCTGTGCCATCCCTCCACTCTCCCAAACATGATGTCCCTCTCTTTGCAACATGCCCAGAGTATGTCAGATAAGTTTCAGGATTCTTGATTCCAAGGGACATTTTGGCTTCACCCTCTCCAAGACAAACCTGTTTGTTCTCCTAGTAGTCCATGGTATATTCAACACTCTTCTCCAGAACCACAACTCAAAGGCATCATTTATTTTTCTATCATCCCTATTCACTGTCCAACTCTCCGATACATAGCACGATGCATTGTGAAGACTATAACCTGGATCAGGTGCACCTTAGTCTCCAGCTGATGTCATTGCTCTTCAGTACTCTTGAGAGGTCCCTCACAGCTGACTTTCCCCAATGCAATTTGTCTCTTGATTTCCTAGCTGCTGTCAATAAGAGTGTTGACTGTGGAACAAAGTAATCTAAAACTTTTAACTTTCTCAATCTCTTCACCATCCATACTGATGCTGCCAGTTGGCCCAGTGGTGAGAATCTTTGTTTTCTTGATGTTGAGCTTCAATCCATATAGGAGGCTGCAGTGCTTGACCTTCTGCAGCAAGCGCTTCAGGTCTTCCTCAGTTTCAGCAAGCAGGGTTGTGTCATCTGCA